TACGAAGTGAAGACTTCATCATCTCAACTCATGTGGTCAGGATTGTCAGGTCTTTCTATCATCTGAAAGAATTGCAATGGTGATAACAGCTGGAGATGTTCAATGTTGAAAACCATTGAGAAAGCTGCAAGACATTTATCTTTGGCAGGGCTTCCTAACTATTTCATTCTGATTACTTCTTTCTATCAGGACCATTTCATCTCTGCAAATTTTCTTGACTAAGTCATAGGTACCTCCATTTCGTTTGACCTCCTGCATTGTCACTTCACCTGATGTTGCTTCAGCACCCCCCCCCCCCCCACCCACACACANCCCCCCCCCCCCCCCCACCCACACACACACACACCACTGCTTGTTTATGTTTAGTTCGTGGTATTTGATAATAATTTACAGCCTTCTGCAGTGTTGATGCCCTTTTACTCATCAATGGTTAGTGGGATAATAAATGTTATTTGCCGTTGTTATCCAACCTGATCTATTTTGCCCTTCGGAATTTCTGACGAACTAACAATCACTAAAGATGAATCAATATATGTTTTAAGAAGTTTCCTTTTCATGCTAGCATCAATGCTTTTCTTTGATTCTGAAATAGTTTTAAGAAAAAGTTCCTTGTTTTTCTCATCTTATATGTTATGTAGAAGAAAAGAACTTCACTCGATTCCTTTCTATCAGAAGACGTGCTTGTAATGCCTTGTAAAGGAATGTTGAGGGCTTGTGCTATGTACCTTCGTGTAAGTCGATAATCAGTATGTTTCTCTCTCTTCCGTTTGTATGTTAAGAGTACATTTGAGCCCCATTTTTAGCCAAAAATGCATTTTGGAATAGTGATTTGATGGAGAATGTGTGGTTAAAAAACAAGGAATTTTTTTGGATTTACGTGTAATATTATTTTATTGAAGAACGTGTTATTGAAAATAAAAAAGAGAAAAATGTATTTTAGAAATAATGGGGACCAAACAAGGGATTGCATAAATGATAGAAAAAAGGTATGCATGTTCTTTAGGATCTCTGGCGAAGCTGTTGTTACCTGAAAGAAATTGAGGGTTTTGATCATTTGGTCGTCAATACAACACTGGGGGCATGTGTTACTGACAGGACGAGGTTTGTGTTGTTCCAAGGAATTAGTTATTGCTGCTCTTCACTTGGCTAAGCTTAAGAAATAAATTTTATATCCAATTTTGATTAATTATTTTAAATAAACTATGTATGCATTGGTAAACTTATTACTAAACTTTAAGTTTAGCCAAACTTTCTTTAACCCTATAGCTATTCTTGAAGAAATTTTAATCTGTAAATTGTAAATGGCATTCTATATATTTTAGAACACCAAGCTGTGAAGCTTTCAAGTAACCTAGTGGAGGTAATTGTTTATCAATGGAAATCAAAATCATTTGATCCTTCAAGTGGCGACCTCACGGTAACACATGGTTTCTCATGATTCAGATATTCTTTATTTGCTTTTGTTGGAGTCTGAACTATATTTCTTCTTGTTGCTGCTATGATTACCTTATAGTAGCCATCTCTTATCACTAATGCTTTCGTATTTACGATATTTAATATCGTAAATAAAATATTGTTAAATTCTTTCGACCGCATTTCAAAATCTAAATAACTCAATTATTTGGTAGTATAGCAAGAAATTAATCCTACTGACCTTATCGTTTTCAATGGATTATATTTCGTACTTCCCACATGACTCCCTTTGTCTTATAGGTTAAGACAAACGAAGATTATTATGTCATCTGAATATTTCAAATCTTGTACGTTCATTTCAATCACTGTTGGAATTGTGTGGCCAATGATCAATTTGAATTTCGTATGCATGCAAAAACAGGTGCCCCATCTCTTCCCTCTATTATCAGCATTATTGCAATACAAAATTCCAAGAAACATCAAATTATACGAAGTATGAAGGAAGTTTCCTACTCCAAAATTTAGGTCCCCCATTTTGCTTGTAATACTATTCCTGTCAAAGTCACGTAGGGTCGACAGAACAATGCTACACTTCCAAAAGAGGGTGGGGGTGGTTAGTTTCACAGATGCTAACAAATGCAGG